ACCGCTCACTGAGCGCTCAGTGAGCGCTTGCATCCTGTTGGCATATTCCGTTAGAACTAAAAATATAGACCAAACATATTCAAGAGCTCATTGAGCGCTCAGTGAGCAGTCGTAGTACTGAATGCACTCATTGGGTGCTACAACCGCTCACTGAGCGCTCAGTGAGCTCTTACATCTGATTGGCATATTCCGTTAGAACTAAAAATATAGACGGCCCTAATCGACCGTTTCAGCGACAAAAAGGACCACGTACGTGGTCAAAATGAACGAATAACAAGCATCAATTTAGGTCACGTGATTCTTTTCGATGCTGAAACGATCAGTTTGAACGACTTGTGAAAATGTACCTTAAGGCTAATATTACATTTATCTATTTTTGTCATATGACGTTTTTCAAGCCTATTGATTGGCTATAGAATAGAAAGAATCTCTTCGTCTTGCAATCATTTAACACACTTGAAAATTTGTATGTAATATTAGCCTTATTCACTGCGATTATGTATTAAAAGTTTGTAAAATACCACACACCATAAAACAAACTATAAATTTCCATTTACTCAAAGTGAATGACAGAATGTAGCCGCAGAGAATTAAAAATGCTAATGCGAAGTCACGGCACCAGTATTTATGCAAAACGCACACTTGGCAAGTTTCGCCAGAAATTTAAAAAAATTAAACAGATGATGCAACATACCGAAACAAAACACGTCCATTCTAGTGGAGTTCTCAAATGAGACTTGTATATCAAAATAAAATTTACAATTCAAATCAATGAAAAAATAAACTTACTAAATATATGGAGCAGACAGGTGTGACCGTAACAAAGTGGCTATAACCCAATATAAGTCGTAAGATCAAGAAGGCAGATTACTTTTAAAGGCCATCGATTGTTATTACGTAGAAGGTTGAACCGGCGGATAAATTTAACAGGATGTGTTCGCTCATAGTACTTATATTATTTATCCTTGTTTAATATTTGATGGACAACAAGGACGAAATGATAGCTGCGTTCCGTTTATTGTTCACAGCCCTTTGGAATTATTTTATCCTTGTTGTTTATTAAATGTTAAGCAAGAACAGACGATGCTTATAAGCATCGAATGGAATGCACTTGATTATTACAGTGTGTGAATATAAAAAAATGAACGCACTCAAAAAATGATTTCTGTTTTTGTATTATAATTCTTTGTTTAATATTAAAATGTTATCCAGTCAAATACATGTGAAAAATTTAGTCCATAATTAGTGATTATTTGGGGCTAAATGGTATTTCTGATAAATTTTATGTTGAGAGAGAGAAAGAGAGAGAGAGAGAGATCCTAGCACTCTTTAGGTTGCTTTCAATTTTAACTTCTATACGAGGCATTGCATCGCAATTAATTTTATTTAATAATGAAAGAAGCAAGTCTTTTAATATTTAATAATGCCAGAATAAGAGAAAGGAAGTTGCCTTTTAATATTTAGATTTAATTTAATATCTAATGTTAATTCTAATCATTAAAAATTTCTACGAACATTTTATATACAAGTCTTTATGCTCACCAGTTGCACTCTGAATCTATTCTTTTCATTTCTAAATCAAAATAATTAATATAATCAATTTTGATCATAAATAATATTTCACAAATATGGGGTCGAAAATATTGTTTATGGGGACTTTTCTTAACATTCAATTTATTATGATTTAGATTTTCTGTCACATTATATAAATAACAAAAAAGGCATATTTAAAATTTTTTTTACACTTTTTTTCAACATGAAAAAACTTTATTTAATTAATAAAATATTAATTAATTAATAAAACTTTATTTAATTAATAAAATATTAATAAAGAAATAAAAAACTTTATTTAAAAAAGAAAATTACTACAAAATTATGTATACTTACTAAGTATACATTTACTATAAGCTGAACTATAAAGATTTTTGCATTTTTAAATACAAATCTTAAAATCAAATAAAGTATAAAATATTAATTAATGTTAATATAATACAAATTAATGAAATATTTTAATGTATTAATATTAATCATTTAATAATTCTAATAGTTTATTAATATATTGTTTTTCCATGCTCTTTAATTAGAATTCAGTACGAGTGTCTTATTTTCATTACGTACTTAAAAAAAATATAGACATTTAAATGATATTAAATAACAGAAATATCACGTACATTATATATTGTACAAAATTTATATAATATATATAATTCCAATTAAGTAAAGCGTACATTTTTCCAGATTCAGAGTAATCCTTCCATTTCTTGCATAAATTGCATGTATGCATCATCCTTTGTCTTAGGTTGCATTGTTCTAAGTGGCTGCGTTTCTGGTACTCTTTCTGTAATCCTGGAAATATTGCTGGATTTCTTCTTATCATCTCTTTTCACGCGCAAAGATGTCGGTAAAAATCTAGTAACGTCAGCAGCCAGATTCCTAATTTGTGGTTTTGCTTCGATAGTAGTAGTGCTTTTTCCGTCTTTATCCTTTCTGTTAATTAATTGTGGTGCAGCGGAAAGAACATTAGGTGTTTTTGGTTGTGCAGTAGTTCCAGATTGCGTTTGTATCTGAGGATTTGTTATATTTGACATATTCGACATCTGCATTTGCGGCGG